TGCGGACGGCAGCCAGATGGTTGGTGGAGAGCGAGTCGTGGGTTCGAAACTAGCTTTTGGAACCGAGAATGGGTCCAACGTATGAAATAAGTAAAGATAGGTTAAGATATATTAGAAAAGATACAGAAATAAACAAAACAATTTTTTTGGGTTAAGGAGAAAGTCAAGAAAACCTTAAAAAAGAAAAGAGATAAGGAAAGATATTTAGGTTCAGAGATCAAACTCAAGGAAAGATACCAACAGTTAATTATCAAATAAATTTGGTCAACACATTATATAAACAAATCATAAATATATCCTGATATAGCCTGATTTTTCTACTGGTCAAAGGCATAATAGTAATTAAAGGTAAAAAGCAAATATTCAGAGTTACTATTTTATCAGGGACCTTGTTAGGAGCCGACAAATAAAATACATACATAAAAACAATAACAATATATTCAACAACAAAATTATGACGCTGCTGAATGCAACACAAGTAATAAAAGTACACCAACAACTATACAATGATGGTATACATATAAAAATAAGCAGTTATATAATTAGAAATTACCTTTAAAAATATATATAATACAATCATGTACAAATAAAGTTTTAGCGTATCTCGAGATATTACAGCAAAAAAAATGAATAAAAGTTATAACCAACACAAAAGATAACAAAAACTAATTCTAAATTTACAAAAATACAAAAAGGTTACAGAAATGAAAACATAAGAATTTAACCAAACCGCACTTGGTTAAGTGGATTAACTATCTCGCACTATTATTTAATGAGAAACTGAGACTTAAATGTTCATAATCATTACTTATTAAAATTTCTGGAATCTATTAAATGTTCTTTTAATTGAATGCAAAAATCAGCAATCTACAGATTGAAGATAATGATTACTTACAGTAAATCTTGACGACTGCTGCACTAGGTACTTCACTGAAAACTATATACTGTACTTAATACTTTACTTGTATCCAACACTCACTTTAATTAACATTAAAGGTACTTAAAAACTGTATATAATATAATATAGTATAATAAAAGAAAACTCAAATATAAAGTGTATACAAGAAATTCTACAAAAATTCATTTGCAATTTGCTGCCCGTACCCGCGCAGTAACAATTTTTTTTGTGTAGGTTGATACCAAAAAAACATTTTTTCAGGTGCGAGCTTCAAAAAAAGGCAAATTTAAGTTTTTTCCAACAAAAAACTGATTTGTTCGCTAAAGCTATTTCATTCTTCTAGCGATCTGCCACGAAAAAACGAGCGAAAAAGACTTCTATACTTGAAGCACACGTACATATCAGGTACCAATCGCTTCTTTTTGGTCTCCAGAATAAAATCTGAGCCTTTGAAGAACCAAGAAACGCCTGCTCAAAGCGTGGCAAGCGGTTATTCAGTCACTATAATCGACGTTTTTTTTCACTTTTTCGCGATTTTATCCGAAAATAGATTAAAAGAGACCTGTATAGTTGGAGCACACGTACATATCAGGTATCAATCGCTTCGATTTGGTCCCCAGAAGGAACTCTGACCCTTCGAAGGGCCAAGAAACACCTGCTCAAAGCGTGGCAAGCGGTTATTCAGTCCCTATAATCGACGTTTTTTTTTATTTTTTCGCGATTTTATCCGACAATAGATAAAAGATACCTCTATAGTTAGAGCACACATACATATTAGGTACCAATCGCTTGATCTTCAGAATGAATTCTGACCCTTTGAAGAGCCAAGAAATACCTGCTCAAAGCGTGGCAAGCGCTTATTCAGTTTAAAATAAGGTTAAAATGACTTTTATTCGACAACTGAGTTTTCCAAAGGCAATTAAATCGTAGTAATTTCATAGTTGATAAATCAATGGTTGAAGAGGTAAACAACCAACATCTTGTAACAAAATTTCTCTCAACAACAAAAAAAGGCTTTTGTTTTTTTAATCGACCAGAGCATACACAAAACGTTTTATTAACTCAAGTTTTATGTATAATAGAATCGCCAGAACTAACTAAATTTGGAAATAAAATAATGTATAATAACAGTGAAAATCAGAAAAAAATTATTGAAAATAATACAAAAAATAATATAATTATATATGATATATTTGGTATAATTTATATAATTAATATAATTTCTTTTTGAATTAAAAACAGTATTGAAATTTTGTTTATTTCATATTATTCGAGCTTTAATATTTATTGTTTCTGTTAAACACAAGATTATTTAATATTATATGCCAAGTTCTTTTTTATAGTATTTAATTAATCAAGAATAAATATTCCTCCCTGGACTATTAATTTTCCCACTATTGATCTATCCCTCACGGCCTATCCAAAGAGTACCACAAATCCCATAATCATTAACAAATTATATCAAGAACGGATATTGGAATACACTGGCCATAACAAGATTTTTACCGATGCGTCAAGAACTGAAAACGGACACGCAGCGGCCTTTATTCTAGGAAAGTCTGAATATGCAGTTCGCATCCCTCAATTCTGCAGCATTTTCACGGGAGAAGCAATCGCCATTTTAAATGCTTTAGACATGTGTAAGAGTCATGCAAGCTCAGATTTTCTTATCATTACTGACTCTTTATCTGTTCTTCAGAGCTTAAGGCAAATATATCCAGTACATGCTATCCTGCAACAAATACAATTAGTACTTTATCACCTACAAAACAGGACACGTGAACGTTATATTTTTCTGGGTACCATCACAAACAGGTATCGCAGGAAATGAAAAAGTAGATGAATTAGCAAAGAAAGCTGCTACTGGCGAGCAAACTGAAATTATGACTACAATTCCATTCAGTGATATCCAGCTCAATATTAAACAGCACTGTGTAAAAAATTGGCAACAAATGTGGAATTCTACTAAGGCTAACCTTAAAAACGTGAAAACTAGGATTGGCACTAAACTACAATTTCCAGAAAACAGAAGGCAACAAGTGATTATAAAACCGACTAAGAATTGGACACACAGCGTTAACTCACCAGCATCTCATAACAAAAGAACTACCACCTGAATGTTCCTATTGTGAATGTCCAATAACTGTTCAACATGTATTGATTGAATGTCCTCTTTATTCCTACGAAAGAGCCATCAACAACGTACCAGAAGAAGCAAAGAAACTTAAAGATATTTTAAACAGTAATGTATCTAATACAATCAAATTCCTTAAGGACATACGTTTACTACACAAAATTTAAGTTATATTATATGTATCTCTTTGTAATTTGTAATTTATTATGTGTAATTTAATACGCAATTTGTAATTAGTAAATTTGTATTTGTAATGACAACTGTAAAATCTGTAAAACCCGCTAATAACCTTTAATGGTTGATGCGTAAATTCTAAAAAAAAAAAAAAAAGAAAAGAATAAATATTATTTTATACCATTGTTAAATATAGTATCTATCAATAATAAAAAAATTAGAATATTTTTGATGTATTGCATTCTATGTATTTATTTATTTTTTTGACTTGACTAGCTTTTATCTCGTTCTAATACTCATACTAACAAAAAAAAAGTTTGTTATAAAAAAACGAAGAAAAAAAATTGAATCGTATTTTCTGACTTAAAACACGATAAATTAATATGTGAAGGTTTTCAGCTATATTACAATTTATTATCTATAATTTGATGACGGATCAGGCTACATACTGAGGATCAAGTCACCAGCTTCCGATAGGTAGATAAACCTCACTTACGGAAGTCATTTTAACTTGATTTTCCGGTAAAATCGCGAAAAAAATGACGTCGATTTTAGTGACTGAATAAGCGCTTGCCACGCTTTGAGCAGGTGTTTCTTGGCTCTTCAAAGGGTCAGAATTCATCCTGGGGATCAAGACGAAGCGATTGGTACCTAATATGTATGTGTGCTCTAACTATAGAGCTATCTTTTATCTATTGTCGGATAAAATCGCGAAAAAATAAAAAAAAAACGTCGAATGTAGGGACTGAATAACCGCTTGCCACGCTTTGAGCAGGTGTTTCTTGGCTCTTCTGTGCTGTAACTATAGAGGTATCTTTTAATCTATTGTCGGATAAAATCGCGAAAAAATGAAAAAAAAAAACGTCGATTTTAGGGACTAAGTAACCGTTTGCCACGCTTTGAGCTTTTTATTTGGTTTTTCAAATGGTCAGAGTTTATTCTGGGGACCAAGAAGAAGCGATTGGTACCTAATATGTATGTGTGCTCCAGATATAGAAGTCTCTTTCACTCGTTTTTCGAGGCAGATCGCTAGAAGAATGAAATAGCTTTAGCAAACAAATCAGTTTTTTGTTGGAAAAACTTAAATTTGTCTTTTTTTTATGCTCGCTCCTAAAAATATGTTTTTTGGTATCAACCTACAGAAAAAAATTATTACTGCGGAGTACGGGCAGCAAATTGCAATATCACCGTGTTTGGCTCCAGTTCAGGTGCGAATTTTTGTGGAATTCCGCATACACACTTAGAAAACAATTCACAGACCGTAAGATAACAGATACGATGTGAGCGAAGCATCTCACGAGAAATCAGCCTTTACCATCCTCCTTTACCACGAGAAATCAACCGTCCGGGGGGTCAGAATTGAAGAGAGAGAAAAGATCATTTGTACTTGAATTTTCTTAGAAACCCATTTTTTTGACGCATTGGGCAATTTTAAAATATTTATTATATTTAATATTTGTTTAATCTAAAGCTTTTATAAATAAATAACCATTCAGTAATAATAATAAATGGTTAATGTGACAAATTTCATAAACTTATCTTGAAAGAGAAAAAATATTTGGAAAAACAAAACGGAAGCCCATATTCGGACCTCTTCTTCCATACTTATTAGCATTTATTTATTTAAGAAGCTTACAAGTTTATTTGCCGATAACACTTAATAAAAATTAGCATGATATTACAAGGTGTGTTGATTTTTATTAAGTCAAATAAGCGAAACGTTGTCTTGTGAGAAATATAAACGAAAGTTCAATGAAAGTCCACTTTCCGTTTAAAATTCCTCATGCATTACGTTCATATTTGAGTAGTATTTGCAAATTCATCATATTGAGTAAGCAAACACTGGTTGTGCTTTCGTTCAGTAGTTTTGTAGACAAGAAGACAGTGGTGTTTCGGTATGTCTACTTCATCACAGCATAAATATAAAGCTGTAATGGATTGAAATAAAAAATTTAAAAGTAAAAACAGATTTTTTTGGTTGAAAATTAACTACAATTTCCGTATTTTATTATTCACAATATGAGAATGTTTTTGTCAATAAACATAATATTTAATTTGTCAAAATATAAAGTTTTCGATCTATCGGAATATGTGATGGACTACAGTTTTAAAAATTGAATTTCTTAAGTACTACTCTTAAGCATCTTCTTCATTTTATCTTTAAAATACCATTTGCAAACCTAAAAATTATTTTCATTTCCATATTAGTTTTATTATCAAATCTGAAGTTCCACGTTGTTCTCCGAGCGCAGAGGTTGCCTCTCGCCCGGCTCTGGAACCCATTTGAGCCATGTGTTACCTTTGGTCAAATTTAATTTAATATAGAACATCACAGTTATTTTATAACACAATGTAAATAATTTCATAACTAAATGTAATTTAAAGGGTTTTTACCCTAATATTTTGGTGGCTCAGGCATTATGACCTAGCATTTTCGATTTTAATAACCTGATGATGGACTGTTTAGTCCGAAAACGTTTGTTCTATTGATGTGGCCCTTTTAAGGGTTTTTTAAATAAATATACCCACTTACAAAGATTAACCTCTTTTTGTTATACGTGGTATACAGCCAGCTACAGGAATTTTTCCTTGTGGATTTTGTATAATATTTGGCAAAAAAACTATATAACCATCTCCTTTTGCAATTTAAATCTGCAACATATTTTCCCAAGTTTCGTAGAATGACAAAAGCTTATCTATCTGAAAGACAATATATGAAAATTACTATGTTTTCGCGTTGAAAATTTCAAACTCGATGTTTCGGCACCCATTTTGGAGTAATTATCAAAAGAGATATGGTTCCGTTAGAGTTCGGAGTCTCAATCTGTCTACTACCCTCACTTGTATCGTACCCGTATCTTGTTCTGTAGAAATAGAAGAACCGTCAAAGGTCACTGAGGTTTCAATCTGCCTACTGCTCAATGTCTTAAAACTAGTTTGGTAATAATAACCCTAATAACTAGGGTTATTATCCTGTATTTTCTACGACTTCTATTGACTTTAAACTTAAAAAAAACCCGAAAAAATGTGCACATAATCAAAAATGTTATTCTATATCAATAATGTTTTGATACAACTGCCAGTAACTGTAATAAAATTCCAATTTGTTAATTTTTATTCGTTATTTAATATCTCAAGCAGATGACTTTCGTTCATTGGCTATTCATTCATCTACTTTTCCTTATGAGCCGTCACTGCGTGGAAGTGTATGTGAATGTGGACATAAGGCGGCGAACTTCAAGGCAATTAAAAACTTCCGTTAGATAAGCTAGGCAAAAGGCAGGCATCCAAGTCCGACTGCAATTCATCATTTCTAATCTAAATATCTCAATAATGCTTTGTCGGAAATCCCTGAAGACGCCTCAGTGCTAAATGTACTCGCGTATTCATGATTATATAAGCGACTATTGTTTTACTATGAGGTAAGTCTGGTAAGTATGAGTACTAAAACAACTGAAGAGAATGAAAAGAAACTTAACTGCGGGTTCAAAAAAACTAAAGAAAAATTGCTGTAGGATCTTGTTTTAAGTTGTTCTGTTTATAAACGATAAAAGATAATCATTTTTTAATAAAACAGATGTTAATAAATGTTTCTCCTCCAAGAACGAATTTTCGTTAGAACAAGTAATTTTGGCTCTATCGTATAAGGATTTAATTATTCCCTTTTTTACATTAATATTGTGATTTGATTTGAAATTTAAATATCTATTGGTGTGTGTTGGTTTTCTATACACCTGAGTCTCATATCCAGTATCGTTCTTAGAGATTAAAACATCCAGGAAAGTTAGCGTGTTATTATATTCCTTTTCCATGGAAAATGTTATCGTTTCTTCTTTATTGTTTATATCATTTAGGACTGTGTCCAACAACTCTGATCCATGAGGCCATATTGAGAATACATCATCTACATACCTCCACCATACTGTGGGTTTGAAATTTTGTTTAGAAATGATGTTTGTTTCAAAATCTTCCATAAATATATCGGCTAAGAATGGTGATAAACTAAAGCCCATTGCTAGACCAAAATTTTGTTTATAGAATTCATTATTTAGTTGACAATATGTATTATCAGTACATAATGTTAATAACTCCATTATAGCCGATATGTTTAGTCTTGTTCTAGTTGCCAATGAATCATCACTCTCTAATTTTGTCTTGACTATACTTAAAGTCTTATTTAACGGCACATTCTTAAATAAACTATTTATGTCAAAACTTAAAAAAGTATTATTTGAATTAAATTGGTACTACAAATGGATTTAAGTGCATTTTATTTTCTTACTTATTTTTATTTTCTTACTTATTTTTATTTGCATACTATTTTCTTCTGGTGCACCATCAAAATAACTCAGCTCGGCTTCTGCTAATAATTGTTTTCGGGACAGGTTATCTACAAATCCACTATTATCCTCGTCAGCCGAACCTTCATCAGTCATAACATTTGGATCAGTTGGACCTTTATATATGCCGGTGAGATCAATGTTATCGTTATAAACCATATTCAGGGCTTCCTGGAGCGTAAAACATCCTGTAAATAAAAAAATTATTAGATCTCTTATTGTGACCATTTGGTAACAGTGTGATTATGTCTCATGTATATTTTATGTTAATGAGTGAGGTTTACAGTAATATTTATTGTAACTATATCAATAATTATTTAAATTACCGAAAAGTCTTGACAGTAAACTAATACAACTACTAACTCAAATCTCGTCTCCATGAGTTAAACATTCGTTAATACGCATGAAATTACAATGTTATACTATTCTTTCCTTTCAAACTGTTGAATGTAATACAGTAACACGTTGAAGACACTGACATCTAGTAGCAAAAAATTGAACTGCTGATTTCTAGCGTTAAGTTAATCAACATTAATTGATGGCGTGTTTGCATAACCATGAAGTGGTTACACAAGGCGTTGATGGGTTAAGATAGTAGAAATATATGCCTTAGAAAGATAGTAGAAATATATGCTCAGACAAACCATCACTATGTTTATATTAGGAAATATTAACAAGTCTGTCTTACTAAACAATAAAACAAACAAATTATTATACCCTAATATAAACATGGACTATATATTCCCTAATATAAATATATTCCCTAATATAAACAAGAAACACGTGAGATGTATGTGGATTACTGTAGCAGCGACAGACAGCGAAGAATGGAAAAGAATTGAGGAGGCCTATGTCCAAAGATGGACCGAAGATGCCTAATTAGATATTCTTCTTCTTCTTCTCGTGCCACAACTAGCGGAGATTGGAAATCATCATGGCTACTGCGACTTTGTTAGCAGTGCGTCTAAAAAGTTCAATCGAACTACACCCGAACCATTCACGTAGATTATGAAGCCACGATATTTTTCTTCTTCCCTTACTTCTTTTGCCCTTAATTTTGCCCTGTATGATGTTTCTTAAAAGTTCGTACTTTTCACCTCTCACAATGTGCCCCAAGTATTCCATCTTTCTAGTTTTTATCTCATTTAGAATTTCGCATCTTTTGTCTAAAGTTTGGAGTACTTGCGTGTTAGTGACGCGTTCCATCCATGATATTCTGAGAATGCGCCTTTAGCACCACATCTCGAAAGCTTCGATGTTTTTTATGGTCAAACTGTTTTAGTGTCCAAGCCTCAACTCCATATAACAGGGTAGAAAAGACATAACACCGCAGCATTCGTATTCGTAACTTTATATTGATATCACGATTGCAAAAGAGTTTGCGCGTTCTATTAAAGACTGATCTAACGATTTCTATTCTACATCTAATCTCTTTTGTTTGATCAGTATCGTCTGTGATCCAAGCACCTAGATATTTATACCAGGGCACACGCTCAATCGTTGTATTGTCTATTACAAGATTAGCTCTGATGTTCTTTGATTTCGTGATTACCATAAATTTAGTTTTTTTCAAATTAATTTTCAAGCCGTAATTGTTACAGTATATATTGAGACTTTGAACGAGATGTTGTAGTTCTACTAGCGTTCCCGTTAGGAGAACTGTATCGTCAGCATACCATATATTGTTGATCGCCTCACCATTTATTATCAGACCAAGATCTTCTTCCTCGAGTGCTTGTTCAAAGATAGCTTCACTATACAGATTAAATAAAAGTGGCGATAAGATACATCCCTGCCGGACTCCTCGACGGATTTTAATTTATTCTGTTAGTCTGCCCTCAACCTTGACATTTGCTGTCTAATTAGGTATAATAAACAATAAAACCCAAATATTTATTGAAGACAAAAAATTCTATTTCTTTGGTTAAGAATACTATATAAATCCACCGGATCTAACTGTAAACCTCAAGATTGTTTTAAAAAGTGTTTGACTTTACCCCATGACGATAATACGTTTTAATAAGTTACATGCAAATCGTGATTTCTTCCCATATTCAATAAGTGCTCGTTCTTAAGATCATTGTCTAATATTTTACTCTGTCTCTCGGCTTTTTTGCCCCAAGTCTTATTGTTTGGAATCAAGACAACGTATCTAGTCGTATAAATTTGATATAATATCCGGAAGACACGGTCCATTGCCGCCATGGACTGCTTTACAAATAAATTAGTAATTATACGGTTATTAGTCGAGACTTTTTATCAATGCAACGAGGAATTGATAGTCACAATGTTGTGATGGTGTTTTGATAAGCTTTGTTCTACACGAACCGTTTCATTTAACGAATTAACATAAAAAAATTACTGGAACATCAAAACTATAAAAAAAATCTTTATACGTTTAAGATAAGTCGAATGTGCGAATTATAATTATTTTGTTTTATTGCTTGATTTTAAAAATATTTTCTTGTGACATTGTTGGGAATTTATCTTTATTGAACAGCCAGCAATTGACGGATTTGTAGTTTACTGTTTTATTGCGTAAAACAACTCAAATTCCTACAATATATATAATTAACAATATAAAAAAACTAATTAATTCCCATTACTTACTGTTCTCTTGCTGTCTGCTAAACTATTAAATTATTTAAATTTTTCCCTAATCGGTGATAGTTTGTTTTCTGACGTTTTGATCTTATATTTGACATCGTTTATGGAACAGTAGCAACGAAAAATTTTGGGTAACATGATAGAACTAAAAATTAACTAAATACATTTTTATACAACTAACAAATATTCGTAATACTCCAACCCGGTACAGTTCGATGCGAAAAAGAGACTGTACCACTTATTTTTCATCATCTTTTTGGTCTCCATTTATTGGTATTACCGCTAATTTTATAACAGGACGTTCATATATTCCACTTTTTGTTTGAACTATTGCTCGTCGCACTTGACCATCAGGTGATTCTTTAACTTCAATTACCTCACCCTTTGGCCAATTGCATCTTGGTAAATCTTTATCACATATAATTACAATATCGCCCTCTTTAATTGGTACAACTAGTTTATGCCATTTTGCCCTAAGTAGTAGTTCAGGTATGTATTCAGAAATAAAGCATTGCCAACATTTATTTGCAAATTGCTCTCTGTATAAATAATTAAAGTTAAATACTTTAATATCTTCGTTTAAAAATCCAATTCGTTTATCTCCGTTTGAAGATCCAATTAAAAAATGATTTGGAGTTAGAGATTCAGATTCTTTAGATTCTATTGGAAGATAAGTAAGTGGTCTTGAATTTACTATGTTTTCCGCAGCTATGAGACAACTACAAAGTAATTGGTCAGTAGGGTTCCTGGTTGAAGATTATTTTCAAAATGTCAATGAAATGGTAAATCCATCAGATGGTAAAATTCATAAATTACAGATTTTTATTTAAGAAAAAAGTAGGCGAAGGTGAGGAGGATGCTTAACGTTTGAGGCTATATAACACCGAAATTATATATTGGAGGCTACTAATATTTTGGCACAGTGAAAACTCATTATTTTTCTATCAAAAGCACAAAAAAAGATTTTTTTATATATAATGTATAAAAAATTACATGCCAAAATTTGACACCAATACAATTTCCCATTTTACACCAACTGTGTGGGTAAAACGGGATACACCGTATTATTATAAATAATTTTCTTTTTTTTAAGTTTATTTTTTTAATTTTTGTGTCAAATACAACAACTTAAACTTAAAAATTCAGAAGGAACGAACAAGAGCAATTAACTAAATAAGAAATAACGATGGGTTAAACTAAAAAACCCAATATTAATAGGAATAATGCAGAACATTTTTCTTAAATAATAGTAGAAATAATAATGCCAAACATTTTTTTTTAACTTATTCATATCTGCAATATTCGCAAGAAAATACATCATCATCGCTGTCACCTCCTGCACAAGCCTAATGTCTCCATGCTTTACAATTGCGGCATTGTATTGTTATATCTTATAATAAAAGCATTCCTCATTTGCACTACTGACACCTTCATCTTCAGGTTGTAAGTTTTTAACCCTCTTGGAAGTATTTACTTTTTTACGGTTTTGTGCTTTAGTGACTTAATCTTGGTCTTCGAGTTAACATTTTTAACATTAACTTTTGGTTTTCTGGTATCTAGAGATGTCTCCAATTTTTCTTTATAGTGGGTGCTTATTAATATGACAGTTTTACCTTTATTTTTACTCTGTTGCTTAATTTGTTTTTGCGGTGCGTTTGGATAGGGAACAACTTGTTTCAGAGAAAAAAGACCTAAACCAGTGCTTGTTGAGGGCATGTCCATAAACAAATCTTTAGTTTCATTAAGTATTTTGTCTTTCTGGAGTAACTTGTTCTTCGACAGGCTGGTCATTTTTGAATTGATTTTTTTCGGGGCTGGATATGTTTTCTTCAATATTTGGCTTATGATCAGTAGCCAAAGTTGCAGCGAACATCTCTAGAGTTAAAACAGTAGAAATATGTTTTATTGTCACTGAAAATTATTGAACAATTTTATGGACAAAGTTAAAAAAAAAATCAGTCAAATAGTACAAAAATTATAAAGAAAAACAAATATAATAAAAAAAAACAGAACAATACAATTTAAAATTAGTAAACTATTGTATAACTTACATAATTTGTACAGACAACAACAAATGAAACAAATTGTAGCCACTGCTTGAGACACCCAAATGTAATTATAAACAAAACTTATTTTGTTTCTTTGTTATACACTAAGAAACTCGTCAACTGAATAATATGGTCTTTCAGACAGATAGATTTTTGTCATCTTACGAAACTTAATGAAATATCATGAATGTGTTGCTTGTGTGATTCCATTTCAAATAGGTAAAGAAATAATAAATAAGACTTACTCACAATTAATTTAATTTAACTATCGGTTTTTAACGACCGGTTCCGCTTTCTACAATATGCAAAGCACCTTCAGGTCTCGATACAAAGTTAAATAAATGCTGAAATGATAAAAACCCATATTAGGGTGTTGTCTAATAAAGATAAACAAACTAGATGTTATAAATTACAATAATTATGCCAATATTACATGTCTGTGGTTTTTCTCAAAATGAGTAAAAATGAATAAAAAGGTATAAAAAGTTTTAAAAGTTTAAACAGACAAGGTAAGACCCACAAATTGTTGTAAAATAGTTTATTAGATTGTAATAAATTAATAAATGAACACCGTGTGGAAGTCTAAATCGACACAATTTAAGGTACTGGTGTGACGTAAATTCACACTGAAGACTGAATGCGTGAAAACCATACTCAAAGACCACAAAAATTAAATGTATGGTCAGTTATAGTTGGTACTTATTTAATTGGGCCATTTTTTATCGAAAGAAATTTAACGTCAGATAGTTGGTGTAAATGTTCGGCGTTATTTAGATGAGATATTTTCCGGACGATAAATTGGTAGACAAGGTAGAATTGAATGGCCTTCACGTTTACCCGATCTCAATCCTAAAGATTATTTTTATTAGAGATACTTGAAAAATTCAGTTTACAAAACTTAACCAGCAAGTGTTGCATAGCTAAGGCAATGAATTATTGATGAATCTCGAATAATTTCTAGACAATAATGGAGAAATGTGATAGACGCATTCTACCATCGATTAGAGTGCTGTCAACTCACAAATGAAGCACATTTTGAACACTTAATAACGTATCTATTATGTTAAAAAATATTCTTAACTATCAATTGTTACGTTTTAATGTATTTGAAAATAGTATTAAAAAATGTATTGAAACAATTTAGGCGTTGCCAGACTTCTGTTTTATGTATTTAAGACCTTCCAGACTACATAAAATTATAAGTGTTACATATGGTTGAACTCGTATTGAATAGAAGATTCTAATAATGGCTGAATATACAGGATGATGCTTTTGAAAAACCAAAGTTACTAGTAATATAAGAGAAACTGAAAGTCTGGCAACATTGCAAATACCAAATATGGAATCTTCGTATCCCAAAATAGGCGTATCTCAAATTTTGTATAATTATGTCTAGCAATTTACGAGATAATTAGCCGTTTCCAGACTTTTGGCCACTCTGTATATGGTATTGAAATAAGTGGTGATTGTTTTAAAAGATTATAAAGTTGTGTTATAATATTTATTCCCTTTGTCTATCCTAAAGAAAGCCAGCATCCAGGAAATACTAGCAACCACGAATTGAAAGTAAAATAAATTTTATTGTGTGGTAAAGAACCCTGAAAAATTAAATATTATTTGATCTAATTTAATTAGAATTAACAAAAATTAAACCAAAGCAGATCATAATAATACATATAGCTAAATATTTGGCGTGTGGTGCTTTTACAGGAACTTTAGGCCGAGAATTAAGCTTTTAATAGATTCCTGGAGGTTTGAGATTATCACCATGTTCTAGAAATCCGAGAATATTAAATTCAATAGCAACTTACACCAACACAGCCGTTCAATTCTGACGTATTTAGAAGTTACATTACTCATACTAATTTTTTCTCTTCGGAGATAACACGTGGTGCGTGCTTTTGATGGTTATGATTTCGCTTCCACTTGGCAATGGCTGCTACGTTTGGGAAGCGAATTTATGGGCGTTAGTAGAAGAAAACCGCAAAAGTTATCAGATCTTTCTTTTGAGAGAAGTGTACTGCATGTCGTATTTCGTTCGTGTGCTCTACACGCGCTCTTTTTCTAGTTCCAGAGCTATTCGTTTCCGCCATATGGGCGCATAGTGCAGTAAAATGTTGCAGTGTGTGGGTGTATGTTAAATTAAAACAAAACTTTGTAAAATTTGCTATTTCAAAAAGTTTACGGGTATCTCATTTTAACATATTTTTATACAGTGTGTAAAAGCCAAATGGAATAAATTCATTATTTAGGTTACTGTACATATTTATAAAAAATCCCGAAACAGTTCAAATTTAAATTAGAACTTGACATTCTTTAACGTGAAAATGCAACCCTACCTTCGACCCCCTTAGAATGACAGGTTCAACCCCCAATTTTTAAAATAGGAAGTATAGGCTTGTGATATATCGTTTGAAAGTTCTTTTCATTCTCTCAAAACTTATTTCCCGTTTAGGTCTTGATAATGAGAAAGTGAACAAAAACCATAGCAATGTAGTTTTTAGATGGTAACCATTAAAAAACTTTAAAGAATTTTCGTGGCAACGTTAATTTAACACGCATTAGTAAATTGTGTTATTTAAGTTGTCGGTTTTTTAATTTAAGTAAAAAGTTCGTTCAACTCAATTCTGAAAAATGCTAAGATTAACAGAAATGCATAAAATATCAGTTTTACAAATGATTGGTTACGGAGATAACACCGAACACAACAAGAAGTAACTCGAATATTTCATGAGAAATTTACTAATTTACCGCTTACATCCCAAGGAACGATAAGTAAAATAGAGAAGTGTGAAATGTGAAAGATATAGAAAGGTGTCGCTTGAGTTTCAGGAAAATCCACATACATCGAGTAGACAGGCATCCACTACATTCAATGCTAGCCATACATCGATAGTAAACATATTAAAAGAAAATAAATTGCATCCTATAAGATGATACCTACTCAGGATCTTATGGAAGACGATTTTGATAGGAGAACTTTTTTTGTGAGCAAATGATGGACATGTTGGATAACAATATTATCCAATTAGAAGGCGTTATGTTTTCTAATAAGTGTACTTTTTCACTTAACGGTCATGCTAATCGACAAAATTGCCGCTACTGGGCCACGGAAAATCCTCACCGGATGAGAGAAGAACACACTCAATACCCTCAAAATGTTAATGTTAGATCGAGGATTGTAGGAAACAATATCATTAGTCAACAACAACTTTAGCTATTAATCATTTAACTAGCAGTATTTCGGAAAGGTTTGAAAAATATTTTGATACTCTAACACCCTTTTTAGATCCTACTAAGGCTTTTTATTGTGTCACAGATAGTATTCTGCTTAGCAAACTTCCTTATTATAATTTTAGCAACATATTGGCGGCAGGCTTCCAATAAAATGGTCTTCACTAGGTGGAAAGATAAGAAAGAGATTAATTTTTTGTCCAACTTTTTTTATCCCACTGAAATGGTATCTGTCAAAAAAGACATAAGACTGCACCAACACTTGTAAAAGACTACAACAAATATATAGGTGGGGTGCATAAGGCTGATATGCTGAAGAGTCTATATGAAATAAATAGAAAAATAAGAAATAGTGGCATCACATTTTTTCCATTTACTTGATTTAGCAGTAACTAATGCGTTTATCATATTTAAATGTAGAAGTCCAGGACGTGTATTATTATTGAAAGAATTCCGATTGGCCGTTGTTACATGTCTTATTGGTGCTAATACAGATACCCAAAAAAAGGGACAAAACATGCAGTAAATAGTTTCAAAAAATATGTACCTAATGAAGTTAGATACGATAGAGTGGCTCATTTGTCTTTTCATGGAACATCAAGAAGATGTGGGTTATGCAGTACAATCACAAAGGTTCATCGTTCTCGTTGGTTTTATCAAACATGCGATATTGGTCTGTGTTTGTCTGACAATAAAAATTGTTTCTAAAAATTCCATACCCTTGAATATGTGACTTTTATTTCCCAGTGCTTTCACGGTAAAACCATACTTTTTTTGTAATATTTTGCTATGATTAAATTTAAATTTTCAGAAAAAGTGTTGATTTGTTGTTTGCTATCGATATTTAACTTCATGTTTCCTCACTAGAGGCCTCTAGTAGCATACTCTGGTAATTATTTTTACTAAAATTGCCTTAGTAGTCGGTGCGTTTTGATTTGGTTTGAGTCTTCTTACAAACTCCTTTTGATGACGGGTAGACCCAGAAACACGTGTGAGGGAGTGCTAAGCGACTCAAATTAAATTAAAACGCAATTGTCATTCATTTTTTTGATTTAATTAATTAAGTTGCCAAGATTTCTTTTATTTTAGAAAAAATGAGAAAAAAAAAAACAATGTGGGCCGCAAAGGATTAAATAGTGACATTTCGATAGGACGAAATTATTTCTGAAAAACTTTTTTGTAGATATAAAACTGAATAGAGTTTACCGAAAATTACTTTAGCGCATGAAAATTCATCTCTTTCTCTAAAATGTTTTTGAATTTGACCTTGTCACAAAACATAAAATCTGAAAATTATTCTTATCTTTACACAGGCAAATGATTTAGAATCACTTAGAGGCATGAAATAGATAAGTATCGTGGGTAATCTTACGTAGGATTATTTTTTTCTCAGACACTAGGAAATATTCTTTTGTGTAGTATTATTTAACTTGCGACGGTGTAATGCACCTTTTTAATTTTCTTTCTGTACTCTTAAAGCATAAGTTGTTACATATAGAATCAGTTAAT